CCAAAACTTGTAAGCATCGACTACCTGTTTCAGACAATCGTTACAAATGTGCTTAGGATATTGGTCGTCTTGTGATATTTCAAGAGCCTTATAACAATTAAACATATCCAAAATTGTATTTTCCTCGTTCAAACATTGATTTTGTTCAGAATTAAAATTTGGTGTATTTCTAACCTCCAAAAATATTGATTGAAGATTTTTGTCAGATAAACAAGCTCGACACATATTTGGGCTGTATTTTACAAAGGAATTAGGGTCATTTATTGAATTATTAACTGATACTGTATTATTCATGCTTGATTAATATTTTATTTAAATATTTTTGATATTTTGTTTTGTTATTTGACAAGTTGTCAGACGCCATTTGTAGTGTTGCCAGATGCAATGTTTTGATTGCTTTGAATTTTGATTTGATTGAATTATTATAAATATTAAAAAATCGGCGTAAGTGGCATTAATATTACTACGAATAATACTATAATATAATAAAAGCTAGTAATTATAAAGTATTACATTGGAGTACTATTTATTTATTTTTTTGACGTTTCAAAATTCAAAATGGCGGACGTAAACAAGATCAAAAAGTAGCGAAAAATTTAATTTGTTATTTGATGAATAATTATTATTCAAAATGAAATTTGAATTTTAAATTATCATATATTAATTACCAATAAAAAGTTTAATATACCACATTTAATAAGTATTTTGTATTATTTGTTTAGAAAACAATTTTTGTCCGCCATGTTGAACAGTTTGACAGTTCGTCAAAATGTCAAAATATTGATTTACACCAAAATATTTATATATTCTATAAACTGAATATATTATCATAAAAAGTATGCCGTAGTCGATTTTAAATGTGTCTGTTACAACAAACATCAAAAATGTCTGAGGAAGCAGACTCACTGCCAGACAATGACACAATTAAAAGTGAACCCCCAGACGCCCCATTATTGAATATCAAGAAGATAATAAATAAATTGAACAAAAGGATGTTAAAAAACCTTCTATTAACCCTGTTGAGACTTCGGTCAAATCTGAGGTAGATGACACCGTTATAGAAGAAGTGGTCCAACTACCTTCCAAAGACAAACGTCATGTATGTCAATACTGCACCAGGGCTTTCAAACTAAGTGCAGATTTAAAAAGCCACATAATCACCCATACCCGTGAAAGGGCTTACAAATGCCAATACTGCGATAAAGTCTTTGCACGGTCCGGTTCTTTAAACGTGCACCTCAGAACCCACACAGGCAGCCGTCTTTACATATGCAAAACCTGCAACAAAGTATTCACACGTTCCGATACATTATCCAAACACATGGTTACGCACACCGAAGACAGGCCTTTCAAATGTGAAATGTGCGACAAGGCTTACATCCATGCAAGCAACTTACGGGAACACATGAACACACACACCGGGAAACGACCGTACAAATGTGAGATATGCAATAAAGCATTTGCCCACTCGGGCACTTTAGGGAAATCACTTAATTAATCACCACAGGTCAAAAGAAATTATTCGTGTGGGATGTGTGATAGAGCCTTCACGCAACCTGGGATTTAAAAGAAGCATATGGCAACGCACACGGGGGCTAGACCGTTTAAATGTGACGTGTGCAATAAAGCTTTTACTAGCAAGGATAATTTGAGGACAATGCATGATACTCATACTGGTGAACGTCCTCATAAGTGTGATAAGTGCGATAAATCGTTTACGCAGTCTGGTAATTTGAAGAGACACAAAGAGATCATAAGAGCTAAAGGAAATTTATATAGATGTAGAAATAATAGGTGCTCCTTAATAGAATTACAATTTTACTTTATAGACTGATTTATATGATATACGTGTTCCTAGTATTTATTAAAGTATTTATTTTGTTATAAATTGTTAGAAGGACAAGCATTTTATTAACTAAATGTTAGTGGCATTTTGCCTTATGGCATTTCTTGATATGTGTAATAATTAACTTAAACAACCGATATTAAGATTTAGCTATTTAGATAAAAAATTTAACTGTTTACTGCAAAAATCTGTTTTTGCTTTGTCCAAAAACTAAACATTGCAATTTCCAATTGATATCTCTCAAACATAATTAAAAATCTGTAATTATATTAATTATAGTGCACAAACACGTGCTTGTATGTCCTAAAAGCGACCATTATTCCAAATTTTAATAAATCTCCATAATTGAACCAATTTTTATAAGACTAAACAGTTCTTGAACTTCTTCACATTTTTTTTAAAAAAAATAATGACACATTTTGTGAAATGTTGGGCATATGCTTCAAGAAAATACTGGCACAATTACGTAACTCATGAGTACATAGTTCTTGTTATTATTTTATCATTTAAATTAATCTTCTATACTTATAAAGATAAGTCGGGTTTTCCTTCCTGACGAAATAACTCCAGAACGCACAAACCGATTTCGACAATTTTGCATTCGTTGGAAAGGTCTCGGATTCCGCAAGGTTTATAGATAAGAAAATTAGCATCGTGCCCTAATGCAAATTGCTTGAACTTCACGCACCGTAATTAAAAATTCGAGTAATAAAAATAATCAATAATTGTTCCAAATAATTGCAAATAGATTATCTTCTATTTATATATATAAAATAAGTCGGGTTTTCCTTCCTGACGAAATAACTCCAAAACGCACGAACCGATTTCGACAATTTTGCATTCGTTGGAAAGGTCTCGGGCTCCGCAAGGTTTATAGAAAATTAGTGGTGCACGGCATCGTGCCCTAATACAAATGGCTGGAACTTCACGCACCGTAATTAAAAATTCGAGTAATAAAAATAATCAATAATTGTTTTAAATAATTGCAAATAGATTATCTTCTATATATATAAAAATAAGTCGGGATTCCTTACTGATCAAATTTTTCCTTTTCAAATATAAAACAAACAAAAAATTTCTTCATCTTTCTCACGAAACCACCTGATGGCGAAACGGAGTTCGTCGGGTTTGCTAGTGATTATATATTATTACACAATTAGAAGTAGATAATTATTAATT